TTTCCCTCCTTACCCAGGCTCTTGGTCCACAATGCACTTGAGCAATTTAGCCAGTGCTCCTTTCTCCTTTTCCTCCTGTCCCAGTATGGCCAAGTTGACCGTTTCCTTCTCCCTTAGTACCAGGAGTCACCAGGTGGTGCTATTTCCCAGTTAAATGCCTTCCTTCACATTGCAGCACAGTCCAGCCCTTGTAGAAGGGTTTTATGTTGTTTGGTTTTGTGATGGAGTTTTCTTTGGTGGGCAGCTGTGTCAGGTAGCAAGAGGTCTTGCTCCTCGCCATATGTTCAGCCTTGAGTTAGTTTTTTTTGAAGCAAAGTTGTTCCCTGTGACTTAATTGGCCAGTGCCTTGTTCAGTGTTGAGGTCCTGAAAAGGCTAGACTGCTTCTACGCAGCTTGTGACCACACTGTTGTACTCAAAAGCTGCTTCACTGTAAAGTACGAGTAAGTCTTACTAAGGATGCCCTCAGACTTTGCACTCTTTAGTCCTCCCTGATATAGTGGGAGGTTTCTTCTGCAGGTTTCTCGGCATCTGCTGGTGCTCCAAAGATTTGTGTATGTGCGTGTGTGTGTGACAGCTCCCTGAAAGGTGCTCCTCTTGTTTTTTCTTTCATCCTCTCATCTTATTGCTCAGCTAGGTTGATGCCACCTTATTTGCAGCTGCTTATTTATAGAGATCATGCTCTTGAAACTGTAGAGGCTGTTCAAAACAAGGAGTTCAGCATCTTGAGTGAATAGCCAATGCACCCGAAAGCCTCAATTTGAGATGAAAGAAGGCAAATAAACACCAAGTTCTTCCTTTTTGCTGGGACAAGTACTTCTTCCTCCACAGTCATCCGTACCACATGCTGTCAAGGGCATAAGAAATTGATTGAGATTCTGCTCTTTGGTTTCAATTTAAAATCCTCCATTTCTCTCAGCAGTTCAGCTGCTGCTCTGAACTTGATGACTTGTGTGGAGAGGGGAAGGAAATGTGTAAGAAAAGATGCAGAGAATTAGCTGGAAATTTGATGTGGGGAAGCAGTTTCTAAATAATTTCTATCATCATTGAAGGCTGTTATCTTTGCTGTCCACGCTCATGCTAGCATGGCGGTGTGGTTAGCTTGTGCTTTACAGGATAAGATGCAGTGATTACACATATATATTTGAATTAGAGTGTGAATTTGGGTTGGGGTTTTTTTGACCGAAGTAGATGAGCTTTAAAAATTGCTAAGTTGGGCATTCCAGGGCTAGGTTGGTGCAGTGTTAATTTGTTGTTATTTTTTAAAATTATATTCTACAGTGTTGCCATTCTTGAGTCACCTTGAAGAGGAAGGAGCTGAGGTAGCTGGAGTACTGACCCACAGGCTATATTTTTTTCGTCAGCTGCATTTTTGTTTTGCTATATGGTTTTATTTATTTATTTTTACTCTATTTGAGTTATTTTAAACAATAGCTTTGAAGGAAGCTGCTTTGTTCTCACTTTCCCTCTGCAGCCCCCTGTCTCATGAATAAAGATCGCTTTATAATTGCACTGCCAACTTTACACACAAAAAAGCAGTTGGCAGGTTGCAGAAGAGCAGCAGGGTTTGTAAGCTCTGGGTGAGTAAATGTACAGCAGCCACGTGGGCCACTTTGTGATTTCTTGGGTACTAAATAGTTTAACTGACTGCTAATCCTGCCACCCACTGCTAGTGTGGTGTAGAACAAGGATTTGTTCCTTACTGCTGATTTAATGCCATGTCAGTCACTGGACTATGTACAAAGGAAAGATAGCTCCCTTTCTGACTGGGTCATCTTTCTGGCATCGCCTTGCATGCTTTCAAGGTGATAGTGTTCTTTCTCTTGAGCACCCACATTTGGAGAAACCTTTTCACACTTAGAGTCAGATCTTCAGTTGAAGTTAGTGCAGTGCCTACTAGCTGCCAGATGAGAGGGAATGCTTTGGGCAAATCCATTTGAAAATCAAGTGCTTGGGGAAGAAAGAGGAGGAAAGATATGGCTGGTCCACTCACCTTGAAGTTCTTCAGGCCACAGCTGTGACTCCATGCCTTCAACTCAGAATAAAGAGTTTGAGATTGGAGCCCTAGTTATGATAGCAGGATAATGTCAAGTAGCTTGGAAACACTCTAGGAGAGGCTTTGGTTTTATGTAATATTAGCTGCTCTTCAGCCTCTCTTGTCTCTGGCCAGTTGGATCACTTTGATAGGCTGATAAAGTGCTTTTGGCCATCTGTGCTTGCTTTTGTATGTTGTAGTCTGGTGAGACCACAGTGTTGCTTGGGATCTCTGGGCATATCTCTGACAAGAGTGTATAGGTGGAGAGATTGTAACTAATACTGCAGTCCAGGAGTGGGGGATACCTGGAAATAGTGGGGTTTTTGTCTATGAGAGCAGAAAGGATGCAGGAAAGTATTAAAGAAGGTGTGTTTGAAACTTAGACATTAGGGGTTTTTGTCTCTAAAAGGTTAGTGGGTTGGGATCTGGTGGAGAGCAATGGACCTGTCACAGTGAGTACAAACTTGTTAACTCCAGCGAAGCCTACTGCGTTCCCTGACTCCAAGTATGACCAGTACCAGAGCAGCTATGTGTACCTGAGTTTAATTCCACAGGAGGATGTGTGCAGGATGCATGTGAAAGGAAGCCACAGGATGAATAATCACAGCTGGTAAGGGAGCCAGAACCTGGCAGCAGGCGTTTGGCTTCGGTGGTTGTTCGGGAACAGGAGGGGCGGATGGGACTGCGGACGCATCCAGCTCTGTGGTGAAGCAGACGGACAGTCGCTGTATGCGTTCTGCTAACCGATGTGGACAGAAGGAAAAGAAATTGAGAGAAGGGATCAGATGATGCATTATACATTCAGAGGTCGGATAGCATTAAGCCCTGGCCAGCAGATCTTTTTCTATTTCAAAATAGCTGTTAGGAATATACAGGTGGTATTGAAGAGGCATATAAATACCAAACAAATGAGCTTGGCGCTTGACCCTCTCTCAAGGCACTGAAATCACTTTGTCACAGTACTCTGAACACTTTACAACTATCACTGATTTAAGTCCTCATAATGCTGCTATAAGGTAAAATCAAGTAATTATTATTTTCGTTTAACAACTAGTGAGCTGAGAATGATAGAGCCAAGAGCTCTGCCAAATGCAATCCTTGCAACCCTGGGAGGAAGGATTGTATTCTAACCAGGTCAGTCCTGGTTGGGGGTAGAAAACTGCCTCTGAGAACAAGCAGTGCACATCCTACATGTAGGGGGAATTAGAGTTAATCTAATTCTAATACGCACCAGAGGAAAAAACCTTATCCTGTAGCTAATTTGTGCTCCACAACACCAGCGTTGGCCTGAAATGACACGAGCAGTTAGAAATGATGTGTAGGGTGTTTTACTGTGGGAGAATTGACACAGACCATCCTGATTTTTATCAGAGTAATATACTGACTGATTTACTATATTGCCATGTATTGAGTTGAAAGAAGGGCATGCAATAAACGGAAATGCCACCAGGAACGTTCTTGTAAGGTTCACATGTGGA